AAAATAAGACCTCCCCGAAAATAAGGCCAAGGAAGGGGAAATAGAGTAGGAAAGGAAGAGGGAGGGAAGATAGGAAGTAGGAGAGAGGTAGAAGAAAGAGGTGTATGGAGAGGAGAAGAGCTAATAAGGGGGGTTAATCTTTTTGGGGCGTTGAGGACAAGAGGAACTGATGTAATCAAGATGAATTGATGTGAACATTTAATAATACAATATGATGTTGGCTATGTAAAAGTATACATGTGATTATGTGACATGAAAATGGAAAAAAATAAAAAACTTAATAATAATAAAAAAAGACCCGGGGGACGGATCCAGTGCTGGCATCTGGCCCGCGGACCGGCCCTGGAAACAGCGGACCGGCCCGCGGTGCCTCCGCCAGTGAAAATGGAGCTCGGGAGGGCTGCGAGCTACTTCCAACTACACAAATGTCAACCCGGAAGCTTTAGGATAGGGAGGGGAGGGAATAGAGATAGTTAGGGTGTGGTAGCCAAAGCAAAATACTTTCTCTTGGGAACCAAGGTCGTTCCTGCAGGTGCTCGGAAGGAGGGGACTGAAGTCACCTAGCAACCAGACAGCAGTATCCCGATTGGACCACGGGCGTTTTGAGAAAGGGACGAACTTTCACTTTTAATCAGGTGAAAACAGCTGGAAAACCCAGGGTTGGTTTTTAACCAGCTTGGGCCCAATATGTCCCAAGATAATTGTTCTTTGAGGAGTTTGCCTGCTACGGATGTGTTCCTTGGCACCCCGGCCACAAAAATACGAGAAGGACGGGCGATTACCGTCGTGATTGTAACAGAGGCAGCTGATGCTTTCGCCTTTAAAGATTCGGCTGACGAGGTATTTGTTGAGGAGGTAGCTCCAGACTTTCAGAAGGCCACAGTAGCTGCCCTTGGCCAACAGAGGTTTGCAAGGGTGGCAGGCGATGGTGTGAACCGCGTCCTTGGGTTCCTCCAGGCACTTGGTGACTTGAGTTCCCTCCGTCTTGACGTGAACCACTACGGCGTCCGCAGTTGCCAGGATGAAATTCCTGCCCCGGGGGAGCAAAAGGTTGCAAATTTTGGACCCCCCCCCCAAAACCCCAAAGGAAATTTGCGTTCTTTCCCCCCAGCCTGCAGTGGGGGGCGGGGATGGGGGGGGGGCGCGCGTTCCATTCATTCAAATCCCCCCTCCCCCATCGTGGCCAACATTTTTTTTTTTTTTTAAGTAAGTTAGTTCACCTAATAATGAAGAAATTGCCAGACAAGGTGGACGATTCGGGGTACTTGGTGACGTCTTCAGGAGAGGCGGGTTTTTTGGAGAAGGAGAAAGAGCGGATGGGTCCCAGTTTGAACTGGCTGTACCAGTGCACCATCTGCAAGTCCCCGTCGTAGAATTTAATGTGACCTCTGACGTCGCAGGTCACAAACAACCTGGGAAGAAGACCGATGGATAAAGAAATCAGTGTGTGTGTGTGTATGTGTGTGTGTGTGTGTGTACCTGTGTTTTTGTGTGTGTGTGTGTGTTTCTCCTTCCCAGCCTGCCGGGTTCTCTTTTATTTTCATTTTCTATTTTTTCTTTTTCTTTTTCTTTTTTTTTTTGGTAAATATATTTTATTTTCATTTCATTTCGTAGAATCACATATATACTGTGCATAAC